GTTTTCATGCCGCAGAGTGACACGAATTAATAGAGAAATTCAGTATGTACTAAGAGCGTAAATTTGACATTACACAGCCTATTAAACACTTTGTGCAAAATCAGTTTAATTTTAGCAGCAAAGACTCAACTTATACAACCAGAAGTTGCAACATATATCTACAAAAAACACACAAAACAAAGAACAACTAGCATAAACTATTAACCTTTAATGTAACCATTACGCATACAATGTAACTAAGACAAAACAAAAAAAGGATGATTTACCTGTAGTTACCTTTGTACAGATGAACATGTGGTACTTCCTGTTTATAACTGTTGTATTCAGCTGCTCATCATGAGGTCAGCTGCAGATCTTTATCCATCTTTTATGTTTCTCCAGACTCTGTTTGCAAATGGAATAAACTGTATTCCACCTTCTAAGCACTCGAGTCAGCATGACATGTTCCCCACTGACAACGTTTAACCATTTTTCTTGATGATTTTTCACAAAATCCCTACGAACGCAAAGTGTTTGTTGTGCAAAACCCTGACAACGTTGTCAGAGGAAAAGGGCGTGCAGCTCTTGCAGGTAAGGGACGTTTCACTTAAGGACAAATTACGATTGCCGACTAACGCTGATGAGCCTACTGAATTGATTGATTGACAGATGGCATCATGTCAGTTCTGCTAGCCCACAAGGATGCTGCTGAAACCAGGTCTTCAGTAATTCTCTGAAGTTCACAAAGGTCACAAGGAGCAAGGGTTACCACATTATCACAGGAGGGCAATCAACGGTCCGGCGATGAATCCTGGCCTCAATCTTATGTAGGGAGGTAATCAGCAGTCACTGGGAAACAACGGGCACCACCTACTCACAGCACCTGCAGGGTTAGTTAGTGGAGGAAGGAGGAGCCCAAAGAGCTAAATCATAACAAGACATTAGTTGTGGCAGCCATCTTGAATTGATTTGACACTAAAAGTTATTCAGTTCTAGTTGTACATCTAGTGATTGCTTTCTGAGCGATTCATAAAAATTTGTCTGGGGGTTCATCAGATATTTTGGTAATGCAGATAAACAATACAAAACTTAAGCATATCTTCTCTTGGGCAATAGCAGGCAATAATAAAACCCAAACTGAATGTCTCTAAACAAAATTAAACATACAACAGCACCAATCCACTCATCAAGTCCAACATTCTGTTACCTGCTTCAACGTGAGTCACGTCAGAGACATGAAGCTCTTACAATAGCTCAGATTTACTGGTTTTGCACAATTCCTGTTGTTGTCTGCAGAGAATCTTTGCAGTTTTAGGTTTTGTGTAAATTTCTTGCACAAAAAAGATATTTCTCTATTCCTGTATATACTGTATATATTTTGCTACCAAAAATTACAGCGTGTTAGTCCCCATCGAGCTATTTGTTTTCATGTATTGCATGGGTTTTTTAACTGCTGATCCAAGAACTATTAAGTACTGTAAATGGAAGAATATAAGGCCTCAGTAATATGTGTACTTCAGTCCTTATGCATTAATGCATTTAAAAAAATAAAACAAGTATAAATGAAATCAGGAAAACAACATGACTTTTATTCATTGGCTGTCCAAAGCTTTTGAACATAAGGGGTTAGGAAGAGCAGAACTTTATTTGATCACGTCTGTTGCCAATTTTAATTTTTAAATATTCATCTGACTCATGGAGGCAGGCTGGTAACGGAAACCAAAACTCTTTATTTTAAACAATAAAACAATCAAATTCGCTACAAAAACAGAAGCATAAAAGCTAACAAAACTTAGCACAAGCTACAAGACAGACAGAGGCATTAAAGGATTTACTGTAGAGAAGAACATCACTCCTGGATGTTTTAATGCTATTGTCCCACTGAGGGGATTAAAAGGAGCTGCAGGTGGGTCGGGTGGAAACAGGAACTTGGTGTGGACAAAGACACAAACAAATATGTTAAATACAACAAAACAGGAAGTGAAGAGAAAACCAGAGTTGAGAAATGAAACTTACAACAGGAAGGAATACAAATCAAAAACTCTGATTATGAACCGAGATTTTCACACCGAACCTCCATCTCAAGAAGGTTCTGTGGTTTATCCAAATGTTTACAGTGACCTATCTAAACTAAAGTAGCACATTTGGGTTAAATAGTTTGACTGCCATTGATTATATCTATCTCACAGGTGTTTGTTTTGAACTTTAAATCAGTGAAATCAGATCTGAAATCAGGCTGATTTGTGAACTGTCCTGTTCATCTACTGGTTCTCCCTTCAGCGCCTAAGAGAAGGTTTGAAAACAACAAGAAAGATTTTTTTTTTTAAGTGGAAATTGTGGTGGTACGGTGGTGCAGAACTGTTGCCTTTCAGTGAGAAGGTCAGAGGATCGAATCCCAGCCAAGTACCTTTCTGGGTGAAGTTTGCATGTTCTCTCCGTGCATGTGTGGTTACTCCGGTTTCCTCCCACAGGCCAAAAACATGCATGTTAGACTGACTGATAACTCTAAATTGTCCCTAGGCGTGAGTGAATGGTTGTTTGTCTCATTTGTCTCTATGTGTCCCTGTGATGGACTGGAGACCTATCCAGTGACTGCTGGATATGGGCACCAGTGACCCCTGTGACCCAAAAAGGAAGAAGGTAAAGATAATGGATGGATGGATGGATGGATGGATGGATGGTTGGATGGATGGATGGATGGATGGATAGAATTTGTCACAACAACGGTTTATTTTCTCTGAGAACAGTAACAGTTGAGCATCACCTGCTGGTTGTCTAGGGTATCACAAAATATTCATTGTTGAGTATTTAGGTCCATAGAAATAATCTGTAATGTGTAAACAATACAAACCTGTAAATATATTTAAGATAATGTATTATCATTATGATTATTAACACTTATATACAGTGCTGAAAGAAATCCATGGATGATGTTTCTAATCTTTGTTACATATATTGTTGTTTTCTACTGGCTTGTTTGCACCTTGGGCATTGCCCGGGACATCCTTGTAAAAGAGATTATTAATCTCAATGGATTTATTTCCTGATAAAATAAAGGTTTAAATAAATAAAACATACAAAAAGGTGGAGAAAAATGTTAAAAGGTGTTCATTTTTATATTGAAGGTTTGCAGACTAAACCAGCCTGATGTGTAAAAAAAAAAAATATATATATATATATAATTTATCATTATTATTATAATTTAACTTTAGTTTACTTGAGTCAGACCAATCACTAACCTGACCAACATTTAGGTCTTAAACCAAAGTTTAAGCTTATTTTAGTCTAAAACGAGGTCCGCCTTCGTTATTGGTGGTAAAAAGCAGCACATACCATTTTCACTTGCATTGAGATTCGTTATTATATAAAATTACTTTTCATTCATTGATTTGATGCTGTTTGGTTTTAATTCGAGAACATTGAGGCCCAGAAGATGTAAACAGGGATGCCTTCAGAATGTTTGTAAAGGGGAGGCCAAAAGGGTGCCACTGTTCTACTTGGGGTGGCACATGAAAACCAAAATCCAAAACAGAAATTCAAGAGTTTTATTATCAAGTTATCATATATACAGCAATTATAAAAAATGCTGCACTATGGGAGTTATCAAATTGCAGTTTGATGCGGGTTTATTCACAGTACACCCAATGACTATATGTCAAGATTCCAGCCTTTCTGCTCTGTTCTCCAGTAACCTCTTCATTTTCAGGATAAGAGTGAGACGCCGATCTGCTGTCAGCACTCGGCAGTACCGACTGTCAGTTACCTTGATGACTTCTGAGTATTTAAGGCTGAGCTGAACCACTATTCATTCATTCAATCAATTCTGTGCATTCCTCTGTGTTTCTACCTGAGTTCTTGCAGAGAATCCTCATCTCCCACTGAGATCCTCCAGTGATCACCTTTTGTCGTCATCATCTCGATGAACAAGCAATCTGAGACTTCATCCTGGCTGCTCAGACCCTGCCTGTTCTTTTTCTCATCTCAGCTGAAGACACTACTTACATTTCTATATGTGGAAACCCAAAGAAGCCTTCCTCTTCTCCGAACTCTGAAATCCTCTCCCCATCTGCGACATGTAAAAGAACATTATTGTAGTGGTTCTGGGTTTTGTCCTGTTTGTGTTTCCTCGTATTTTCAGTCAGCTCAGTGTTTTCCCTCCTTGTGTTCAGCCCTCGTCTCACCTGTGTTTCACATCAATCACCGCAGCTGTCTGTCGTTTGTTCCAGTCAGTGTGCGTATATATTCAGTTCCTTTGCGTCTTGTTATTTGTCTCCAGATTGTCCTTTATGATGTCGTGGCCTGCCTCCCGTCCTGTCTGTTCCATCTATAAGTAAACTGCCTTGTCAGTATAATGATTTTGTTTTTGTAAATAAATTTTGTTAACCTTTATTTCAGAGTCTGTCTTCATCCTCCTGCACGTGGCTTCAAACACACCAGTGGGCAGATCCTGAAAATTGTAAGGAAATATACACAAACAAATCTACTATTTGCATCTTATCTGGGAAATAATTGACCCACACTGTATTACCTGACACAGACATCATACTGGTCCCAGTTCCTTCCTTCTTTTACGTACAGTGTGCAAAAACCTCTTCAAACATGACAATAATTTCTGAGAATTTCATTAAAATCTATCCAGTGGTTCATGAGATAACCCACAACCTGACCTGGCTGTACCACGCCTCTTGTACAGGAACTGCTGGAGACTAGCTTCCTGCGATCTGGGAAGGAGAAGTGGGTAAAGAAAACAGTTTATGAGATATTTTACAGAAAACATACATATAAGTTTGTCTGACCAGGGGTCCACCAAATATATAGGTGGCTCCAATGGCCCCCACTTGGAGGTGTCCCTGGATGGAACTAGTTCAAGGCCTGCTTTTGGTCTTCAGGCCACATTTTGCCCATGTACATAGAGTACTGTCACTTTGGTAGTAATATTTTAACCGAGGGTTCGGAGTACTGAAAAGACTTGATAGGAGACAAACAGGCAAATGATTTATTATACAGTCTAGCAGTGGAGAATGGAGAACAGGAGGATAACAGAAGGTGAGTTCACGGTTTAGGTGAAATTATCTGGAGCGGTTTGGTCACAGGAACAGTTCTTACTTGTGTGTTTTGTGTTTTCAGGTCCAGGAGGAGAACGGTCGGACTCCAGGTTCCACGGTGTGAGGGTAGAGTTCCAGGTAAGCGGCACAACAGGGCAGATTTAGGAGAGTGGGGGGTTCTCGTTCAGGAGAATGGCTCGAGGTATGACAGGACTTCAGCAGGTGCACACGGAGAGCTCTGTACATCACACAGGTGAGAGACTACACTAGGGTTATTCAATTGGTGGCCTGCGGGCCGGAAATGTCCCGCAGGTGACTTCAATCCAGCCCACTTCATAAAAAAAATATATATATTTTTTTGGTTCTGGGTTTTGGTTCCATTTATTGCATTTATAATTCAGTGCAATAAAATAAACACATTTAAAAGGTAACAGATCATTGTAAACTTTGGTTTATTTACATAATGATTTTAATCGCTGGAGGTCCGGCCCCCGAGCTGCTGGCTTTCAGAAACTCTGGCCCCCTGAGCAGTTTTGTTGAATAGCCCTGGACTACACGTTCACTTTGTTCAAAGATTACAATATTTTCTCAAATTAGTTCAGAGGGTTGTATTGTTGTCACCAGTGGCAAATAATGGTCCACTGAAGACTTTTGGTTTTTATTCAGCTTTAAGTTGGGCGGAAGGTAATCAGCTGCATCAAGGACAGCTATGAGAGCTCTACATTCATCCTTTATTTATACTGGTTATTTCCCATTGAGCCTCGAGGACTCATTTACAAGAGAGACCTGTCTAATTACCCACATAGCTAAAAGGAAAAAAACAAAAGGAAATGGAAATCCCAACAAATATTTGTTTTTGTTTGTTTTGTTTTTTTATTAGGGAAGTTCCGAGTCCAGTTTTTCAGGCCGAGTACTAGTTACTAGTACTAGTACTTCAGTTTGAGTACTTGCCCATACTGAGTACCAATACAGTGTAGTTAACGAGTTAGCACTTTAACGTTGCTCAGTGACTTTAGAAACACATTTCTTTTATTAAGAACACATAAAACAGCGTGCTGTCTTAACATCACCTGTGTTTAGCTTAAAATATCTCTAAAGACCTTTTGTGTGTGTGTGTGTGGGGGGGGGGGGGGGGGGGTGTCCTCAGTTACTTGCAAAGTGGAAGAAGAAATGTCATTACCAAGCATGAAAGTGGCATTGGTTTGAAGTATTGGGCGTTTCTGTGAGTACAAGTATGAGTACTTGAGATTGGCATTGAGCCCAGACACCATTATTTAAAATATGATAACATAAAAATCCAGGTGTTAGCCCAAACGCTGCAGTTTATCCTCATAGTCTTTATATTCTGTAGCCAAGAATGCAAAACATTCAGGGCTAAAAAAAAAAAAAATCCAGCTTTTTTTTTTCTGCTGCAAAACAATAAGCACCAAAAATCCAAAGTTTTGCACAAATCTTCAGTTGCAAGAGTTGTGCGACAAAGAATGTGTCTACAGTTCTGGAGAGTTTAGAAACAAAACATTTTTCATTTTGTGTTTATGAGCTGACCCCAACTGCTCATAAATGTTACAGAGTCCACTAACAAAAAACATGAGCCCTGAAGAAAGATGGACTGTTGTTGGTTTACAAACTCAACTGTGGCAGAGAAATGATGAAAACATGAATCTGTGATGAGGAGGAGGAGGTAGATGAGAAGGAGGAGGATAGAGGGAGGGGAAAGAAGAAAAGCCAAAAGATCCATAAAACTAAAGAAGTTGTGGACGACACCAAACAATGTGAGTACGAGTTCATTTCTTTTTCACCTGATTTGGTTGCACGTTCTGTACGAACAGACCTCCCATCCAAAAACACCGACCGAAGGACGGGTCCTTCAGGTTTTAGATGTAAGGAGCTGCACGAGTCCGCTGGTGCTGCTCAACAGATCCAAACACATGTAAGTTTTGTAATTTAAGGTGTGACGCCATGCTGGACCAGTGAGCAGAGTGCGACATCTAAATCAGGACAATGCATCATTTTCAACAGACTATCACTGCTGAAAAGTTGGGGAAATAAATGGGTTGGTGATGATTTTATTGTTGGAAAGCGCTGACATGTGAAAATAAAGCTGCGAATGAATGTTTGTAAGAGAGAAGGGGGACAGACATGGGGGAGAGAGCTCAAACGGGGCACAAAAAACACATTCTTTTGAGAGGACTCACATTTTGGACTCCAAAGTTGCTCTGACACATCACACGAGGAATGATGCTGGGCGGGAGAGCGGCGAGGGGATCAAGGAGTCGGGCGAGGAAGAAAAACACATTTACAGAGGTGAGGTGTTTCCTCTTCAACCGCTCGGCTTCTTTATCAAGCTGTTTACAAGCTCCCAATACGTTCTGGATTAAATAAACACAGGGAAATGAGCTCAGGCCCTCTTTTATAGCAATGATAACTTCCTAAAACATGACTGCACATCTGAGTTATTAACCGAGGCGAAACTTTAGGGAAAACATCACAGAGACCTGGAATGTGGGGATTAAAGGAAACATAAACAGCGCGGCAAAGACATGAAGCAGTTCCAGCATGTGAAATCACCCCGACTCGTTTTCCTCTTCCTGCAGCTTGTAAAGTTCACCTCGTCCAAGCTGAAGCAATGGGCAGCCTCCCAGTGGTCCTGCTCCTCTGCTGTTTCCATGGTAACGCTGCCAAAACGAACACACAGTTCAGCTTGTTTAGTTACGGTTGAGTCGCTGCGTGTTTGTTTTGACCCCGCTCAACACTCCTCCCTCATCTGGTTTCTGTTCCACAGCGCTCGCAGCTGTAGTCCAGGCCCAGCAGACCGGTAACGTTACGTTCCTCATACATCAGACTTTCTGATCATGAGTGGCTGCTGTCAGCTGCAGGAGGTGTTCTCGGCCTAACCCTGTTTTCTCTCCTTGTTTCTAGAGGGCCCCGGGACACTGGCAGGAACCCCGGCTAGTAAGAGACTGCATGTTGGGAGAGGGGACCTCTGAACTCTCTTTTTGACCTTTAGTTGGATGTGTCGGTTTATACAAGATGGAAGGAAGTGGGGGTGCAGAGGGTGCTCCAGCACCCCCTGATGGGAGCTAGAGCATGCACGTGTAAATCCTGAACACAAAGAATTAAATCTGAAAAAAAAAAAAAGCAATATAACAAGTAAAAAAGTGAATTTTATTTATATTGAAAAATTGGAAATGTATTTAGCACCGTTATTGACTGTGGCGGGTCGAGGCATTTCTTTTCTTAGGGTGGCAAAGGTGTTACAAAATGCACTGTCCCAGGATTAGTTTTACTTTTCGATCTAAATTTACACATGCAAGTTGTTTCTGCAAATGTATGCATTCATATAAAAAACTTAAAACCACCCAAATGCGATGAAACAACACCGAGTGCAAATATTCAGAAACTTCATGTTTCCATGCAATTGTTCTTTTGTCAAACATTCGTGTTGTCATCAAAGTCCATGCTCAATAATCCAGGTAAAAAAAAATCCAACGATGTTCAGTCAGGTCATCTGGACGGTTTCTTTTTTTGTTGAGACCTTTTGTCCTTCATCCAAAGGACTTCATCAGTCCATTGAGCCTCAACAAACTCACACAGTGGGCCAACCAGTTTGCTGGTGATAAAATGGTTTCTGGGGCCCGCCCTCTCCCTCATCCCCTGGATTATTGAGCGTGAACTTTGATGTTTTGAACCACTTTGGCTATGGCTGCCTCAGAGGAGTCGACAGGAGAAACCATCTTATCACCAGCAAACTGGTTGACCCACTATGTGCGTGTGCTGCTTGTGGGACTGAGTTTGTTGTGGCTCCTCAGATTGATGAAGTCCTTCGGATGAAGGACGAAACGTCTCAACAAAAAAGAAACCGCCCAGATGACCTGACTGAACATTGTTGAAGTCATGTTGACACTTTGACATTTATATTTGTGTGTGTGTGTATGGTGGGGGTCCTACCAGGTAAAACCATTTTGAAATCAAAACGTGGCGTGTGCAGATTCCAAATCAGCGAGTTACGAGAGGACTTGATATTCTGTAGACTCAACATTATACAAAATGTGCAAAAAATTGAATTTACAAGTAAGGGGGCAACATATTTTTAATGGCAGCTGTCCCTCTGTGCCCCCCCAAAAAACCATCTGGTAATTGTGTGTAAACTTCTTTAAACACAGTGCATGGTTTTATTGTGTCCTCCATTTGGGGCAAAGTGTCATTACTTTGCTTAGCCTCGTTAGCTCGCTCATATAGCAACCTACGACTGCTCCGGACACCCCCACCCCCACCCCGGGGCCATTTTTCTTTATAACGTAAAGATTTCTCTCATGCCTCTGCAGCCTGCAGGGAGGAGATGTATCCTTGCACCAGGATGTACTCAGTTCAAAGACCCATAAAGAGATGTCTCGGCAGGCTGTGCCTCTACAGGTACTTTTTACAACTAAATAAATTACTTTGATTCAAATGAATCTGTGGTGACATCCTATGGCCGTAATGAACAAACTACTGGATCTGGGCGGAGTCAAGCACAATGATTTAGACAAACATTCTGCATTTTTTTCTGCAGCACAATGAGTGAAAGGAAGTCAACAACAGATTTATAAGAAAAAATAAAAAAGTAAATAATCTCCCACCAGAGAAACCTTAGAAACAATCTGTTTACATGTAGTCATCTTAGTGGACTATGTTTAAGAGATGGCCAGCTTTTATTTTGATCAAATCTTTTTGAATATATTTTAAAATGTTGTCCACCTGTCAGACTGTAGATTGTTGGAGTCAAAACCAAATTGTTACAATCTTTACCAGTCAGATGTTCGTCAAATATCATTTTTATTCATTCAGCGATACTTTCCACAAATGTTTCATAAACCTATTAAACTTTACATTTGATCAAACTCATTTGATAGTCCCAAATCTACACTGTTCAGTCAATAAATTACTATTTTTTTCATGTGTTTGTGTGTATTTGAAGTACCTTTATATACCAGTACTTCTACAGGCTTCAAAGATTTAATTTACTGCATGGAACCAGACCATTTATGCACATTTTCACCTCATAGCAAAATATTAAATATATATATATATATATATATATAGATCAGTATTTTAGGGTTTTAATAAGCAAAACTTAATCTTACCCTTCAGTCTGAATTCTTGTTATTTATCTAAAAGATTCCTCCTAATGTTCTGGTCTAACCCTGTTTCTGACGACAGCCTCCCTCGGATGTACGTGATCAACAACGAGGTCTGTGTGAGGATGGTGTGTCAGCAAGACGACTACCTGAGAGGTGAGACGGCTTTCGGGCAGAACAAGAACTCTGCTGTTACAGAAGCAGAAAATAAAAATTTTTTGTTTTGTTTTCACAGCTGAACTGTGCAGAGAGCAGTCCGGGTGGCCCAGACGCATCGCAAGGACAACTACAGGGAAACGCTGTCGCCGTGGCAACCCCAAAACGTGGGCAAACAAAGCCTGACCGTGCCCAGGATGATGGGTGTGACACCATCTGAGGGTCTTCTCTCCCCTACAGTCATGTGTGCCAGATCACTTTACTCTTTTTATTGTGTTAATGTTTAGCGTCATGTGTACTGTCAGACACGTGGTTCATGATTACTTCATGGTACTGTAGTAACGGACCTGTAGCTGCACTGAGTCACGACAAAAACTGCAATACGACAATCCATTATACTGTGCACCATTTTAACCAATAAAAAAAAAAAAAACCTTTGTTTTTGAGCAATTCATTTACGAGTTTATTATTCATTTTGCTCTTTTAAGAACAAAAGTTACATTTATGATATTTGCATATTTATTTCCATACATCTTTACAGTTTACAACGTTTGAGACAAAATGTGTATAATTTGGAAACGACAAACACTCGAATACTTTTTGTGTGCGCACGCTCCAGGCAACATCCATCACGCCACATGCCACTGCACATGCGACACGACATGTGTGTGTGATGCTGGCGAAAGATCATTCCGTCATAATTTAGTACGCAACATCACAATTAAAAAAATCCCGCAAACACGTACTGGCTTGGTTCCCCGTTTTATTCATCTTCTTACCCAAAAAGAATAAGCTCGACACACTCCGGCTCGTTGCCCGATCACCTCTTAAATACAGGATTAAAGAGATAAAGCCTCAGGTCTGAGTCTGAAACAACTACTTGTTGCGGAGAGAGGTCATGACCCAAACGACTCGCAGCTGCCGAGTGGAAATGACAACACTGAAGAAATCATCACTCCTTTCCCCTCGAGGCAAAGATAAAAGCACTTGTTGCCTCTTTTTTTTCCGTTTCCCAACAGCCTCTCCGGTCCAACGCTCCTACTTCAGTGCGTCTTGATTTAAAGCGGGGCTCGATTCCCGCAACCCGCTGGAGTTTGTGTTGAACAGCTGCGCCGCCTCCAGAGGCCACGACCGCTCTGTAAATCAACCGCAGACTGACACGACTCTTTCAAGTAAAACCAACTCTGCGGTGAACCTCGCAATAATCTCAAACATGAGACGATCTCCGAACGCAGAGTTCATGAATTAATCTAGAAAAGGCCGACTCAGCTGTTGAGTCAGTGTCGCTGCTTGGGAAGAGCGTGGAGAAGAAGCTGTAGAACATGAAGGTGACAACACTCGACGGACACAATATACACATTTCAAATTAAACCTCTCTGTACATAAATTCTAGTTAATTGTACATTTAGGACATGATTATGTATGATTTGCCATTTCGTTTACTCTAGGAATAGCATTTAGCACGACGAAAAATAACACAAACGGGGAACTAAAGTCCAGAACGAAGAGTCAGTTTACGACTGGGCTGCGAGGAATGTAAAACCAACAGAGGGTTACCCTGCTCGGCAGAGAGATATAGGATTTTTGAAAATGAATTTTCAAAAAAGTGCTTTGATCAATTTTGCAACGAGAAACAAAAAAACATGAAGACAAGCAAAGCGAATGTCTCCTCACTGCTGGCATACAGAGTCAAAGTCCCCCCACAGGTCCGAGCCGGCTGCAGAAGAAGGGTTGGACGGAGCCACCGAGTTGGAGTTGCTGGAGTCCAGGTCGAGCAAACAACCTGGTTAGAAAATAAATAAATAAAACACATTCATAGCAAAAAAAAAAAAAAAAATACGATTTCACAAGTGTCTTTTAATGCAGGGGTTCTCAAACTTTTGGGTTCGGGGACCCCCTCATAACCCTCATGTTTATTAAATAATCTTCATCAATTTGTCTCTTTAATGCATTGGAAATATTTGTGTAAAAAATACTTAAGACCTGTTCTTTAATAGCGTTAATATAATTTTTTATACTTTTAAACATGGGTTATTTTCATTAAAAGACAATTCACTAATTTTTTTAATTTAAACTTCCAAAAATTAGTTTTGAGAAAATTAACAGTATCAAAAACCAGTTTACAACTTTACCTATGATGAACATAAATGTATCGCCACTTCTTCAATTACAGAAACTAAACAGAATCATAACAGCCGGAGTCATACCAAGTAACGAGGCTTAATCTGATGGGGGATGTAAAGGTCATGGATGTTTTTCACTTACTAATGTCAAATGCTATAGGACCATGTGTGTGCGTGAAGAGTTGTTTTGTCTTTGCGAAGTGGAGTTTGCAGGAGCACGGAGCCTGCGCACCTGAAAAACTTCAAGGCCCTAAGCTGGACAGCAGCGTTGTCTTGACCTCCTCTGTCTGACAACGGGTATTTAAGCTTTTGTTAACTCTTTCTCTAAGCACCGGCTCACGGACCCCACGGGGGTCCAGGAACCCCAGTTTGTGAACCCGTTTTAATGTGTAGAAAACGTGCAGAGAATTAAACACACCTTCTTGGCCCATCTACGCTAAACGTTTCTGCTCGACAAATGGTTTTAATTTAACGAGCTGAGCTTTAAAGACCCTGAAACATTTGCTGCCACTCAAACCTGATTAAATAAAACTTTACACTCGGAAGCAGTCAATCTTTGCACAGTTTCTCCTTTACTCTAGAAGAACCTCAAACCAAATCAGAGGCAGTTTTCACAACAACAAAAAAAGTCTTTGGAAGATCTTGCAAAAAGATCATAAAGAATCCTTCAAAGGAGCTCTGTTGAATTGTTCAAACGTTTTGAGCACCAAAACCAAAATTTCACTTGCTTTAATTATTTACAGATGACTGCAGAGATCTCTGAGGAGAGAGGCGTCTTTAAATCTCAGCACATGAAAGTAGAAGATAAAGCTTTAACCGCAAAGTGTGGTTTATAAATCTACAGCAAAGATGCTTCGACAGGACAAACAGGACCCACAACTTAGTCCTAAATCTTTCAATGTTTTAAACTCGGTTTTGCCCTGTGCGCCTGTGGATCAGCTGTTCAGCGGAAAAACTTTCACAAGATAACATTTTTTAAATAACCTTTAAAATTCGACTGATCATTGGAAAGTCATTTTAAAACTACACAGCCAGCATCTCACTGGGCTTTGACTGCTGGAGACGAAAACTGGAAGAAAACAGGTGAATTTTCATTTGCAGTCTGAACTGCGAGTGTTTGCGACCGGCGTGCTGTGCAGGTGGACTTTGCCAGGTCAAATTTAAGACCAATTTTTGTGAACAGCTTGCAAAGCTTTTATATTTGCCAGGCCACATCGTACCCACCCTGCTTTGGCAGCCGCCCTCATGTTTATTATGATCTTTGGTGTGGCTCCACCTGGACTTCTGGGGCTGTAGACGCAAATGTTTTCTGTTACAGTAGTCCCTCGCTACTTCGCAGTTCGTTTTGCGCAGACGCGCTCTATCGCGGTTTTTCAAAGTAAGATTGAGCGTGACACACGATTTTGGCTGATTGATCGATGAGCCACACGATCGGCATGGAATTTTTATTTAAAATAAATTATTTTAAAGTACTTAGCACCTGAGTGCAGCCCACACTGCAGAAGAAGCTTCCTCCTGCAGCTGATCAGCTGATCTGCAGCAGAGAAGTGGGCGTGGCTGAGAGCGCTGGCAGAGTGAAGCTAGAGGCAGGGAGCTGAAATCATGACATTCTGTGCTCTTTTAGAGCATTTAGAGTTTAGAAACCTTGTTTAGAATATTGCAAGAGTGTGGGAAGTGTTTAAAACACCTTAATATATATAAATACTAAAATAAACTACTACTTACTACTTGTACTACTATTCCTACTTCACAGTTTTTCACTTCTCGCGGGTCTTCAGGGTATGGATCCCCCGTTATAAACGAGGGACTACTGTACACAGAGACCTTTCTGTGTCAAAACACCCCTCTGGAATTACAGGAACTCAAGTGAGAAGGCTGGGAAGTGCGTTTGAAACCGTTGCAACCGCTCTGCGACTATTTTGAAAGGAAATTTGTTGCACCATTTTTTAAATTTTCAACGTGTTCAAAATTCAAACAACAACACCGCCAGCCTCCGCAGCTCACGTGAAGAAAGTGAAAACCTCTGCGAACATTGTGAGATACTTTGAAAACTATTAAATAACAAAATGACTCACTGGTGTCACTTCCTCCTGCTGGGGGCTGTGTGTTGTGATTAGTAGACCTGGATGAAGGAGGTGGGGCGAGCTTGCCCCCTGGAGGAGGAGGAAGGAGGCCGAGGCCTCCCGAACCCTGTGGACGAGACCTCTCCTTCTTTTTCGATTGCTAGATAAAAATGGAGCAGATTTAAAGTTGTGCCCACATCTTTAACTGAAATCTAACAACAACATGGCTTTTAAAAACAGCAAAAGAAATAAATCACAGAGCAGAAGCAACGTTTAACCCTGACTACAAAATAAATTCTTTTCTACTACATTATTTTATTTGGAGGGAAAATAAACTAAACTAAAAGTTAATGTAAAAGCAATTTCAACGTTTTAACCCATCAAGTTTTTATAATAATCAAAGTACCCCAATATTTAAAGTAATGGTTTGTCCTTCTTTGAAGCCCAGGTCCAGTTTAGGAGTGGAGTCTGGAGCCTGAGCCTGTTTAGTGAATTCATTTTCCTGCTTGACCCACCTGAAACAGAAGACAAACAGATGAGAGAAAATTTAAGAAATACCAGCGGAAATCCGCCACCAGTCAGAGAGTCAAGACACTGTTGAGCTGTTGCGTACTTGAAATGATCCTGAAGAGCAACGTTGAAGTCAAACGCGTCTCCTCGGTCTCCAAACCCAGTGCCTATGAACGCACTACGGCCTGCGAGAGAATCAAAGAGAACAAACATCGTTAGAACATCGACAACGACACAAATGAAGGGAGATTTTACACTTTTCTTTTAGAATTAAGTACGAATTAAGAGTCATGTTTAAGAATTTGCTGAAGATTTCTTTTGGACATGTGACATTTACCAAAAACAAACAATTATGGACAAAAGCAAAGTTTGAAGGAGACAAACGTTCTGAAGAAGCAGAAATAGGAGGTGAAGAGACAACAGACCGGCTTACTTTGAGTTGCACAGGTTCAAATTAGAGCGTGTCATGACAGACAACACTTTAACATCCCGAACAAAGATTTAAAAGTGCTGCTGGACGAGCATTTCATTTGCTTGTCCAACCAAATATGTTCATGTATGAACCAACAAACCCCAATAAAAACAGATTTAGGACCACAAATAGCCACATTATCTTTAAAGGTGAACCACCTCACGACATTTTAGGGGATTAAAGTGGTTCCTTGCAATTTGAAAGCACTTACAAACACCAAGTTCTCTCCAGTTGACTACCGTATTTTCCAGCGTATAAATCGCATCAGTCAAAATAAAAAAAATAAAATAAAAAAAAGCATCATGAAGAGGAAAAAAACCCATATACAAAGTCACTTTGGCATTTATTTAATGGCCAAAACAGCTTCATTTCACCTGGGCGGTGCAGCGCCATCCATCCATCCATCCATCGCGTCAGTTAAATCAAAGCGTCAGTCAAAAATTGCGTTATGAATATGGTTAAAAAAAAGTATATAAGTCGCTTCGGCGTATATGTCGCAGGACTGATAAATCTATGCAAAAAAAACTGACTTATATGCCAGAAAATACGGTACTTGACTAACATGACTAAACGGTAAAATAATTTTTTTTTAAAGAAATGAACGGCTAAAAGAAGGAATCCCAAATAGGAAGACAAGTGATGAAAATTCTTGCCTCATCACAAACACAGCCTGTACAATTTCCTTTGAAATTAATCATTTTTTTCTTTGCTGGCTGCAGAAGCTCCAGGAAATCCCTTCATATAATGATTGGCATCAATGTGAAGTTTTGGGGATTCCCCTTTTTTAAATATACAACTTAAATTCCCAGTGACATCACTCCAGGCCAATAATAATCAAGCTTTTAAACCAGCACTCTCGTAAACAAAACAAACTTGTTGCTAACTAGGTCACACATAAATTACCTAATTTTGGTTAATTACGTATCATTTTGAAACTTGTGGGATGGAAAATTTGAAAATAACAACTTGAGATTGAAAAAAATATTCATTGTGACTCATTTAGGCCACAAATAGGAACCTTTTTCCTGCTGTATATGTTTGCTAACACTCGTATATTTAGCTTGTGCAAACACTCAAGACGTGTCTTTTTGTTATGCGTCTGGCAACCCACCTGATCTGATGAGTCTTGTCCTAATTCACAGTACATAAATTTAGCTCATGTGTGCCATTTGCTGAATATATGAGCACAGTTCAAATATTTAAAGTGTCACAATGAACGGTTTACTCACCGTTGTCATCCTGGATGCGAAGCACAAAGTAACGACTTGAGTCACTGACTGTTTCGACAGCGATGCCAGGATACTCCTCCACGGGCGCTTGGGCAAACAGCTCTCCTGTACATTCAACGAGGAGTAAAACTGAATCACGACGAGGGAATAAAGCCACAATTCAACTGAGAAACATCCATCACAGAATAATCTGTAAACAAGATGATAGAATATAATTTCAGTATACATGTGAGGTTAAAATGAGTCAAAATTAAACGTGTGTTTGGAAGAAAAACCCTGACGTGTCCTCGTCAGTTCAACACAAAGCGCTCGCTTGAACGCAGACTGGGTAACCCTGGATTAGATGACTAACACGGAGCAGGTGGTGAAGCAGAAGACTACACAGTGGAGTGATTTACGGCAGTGGGAGTAAACACCAGCACCGTCTTGTCTGCGTTTCTCTCACCGGAGATTTTGTCCTCCAGTTTCACGTAGGCCACTTTGCCTCGGGCCGTCACACGCATGCGCCCCGTCCAGTCTGGAGCGTCCAGTTTCCAATCAGCAGCCCTGAGAAACACAGGTGAGCAATAATCTGAATGTGTAAAGGGTCTGCACATATTCAGTGAGTGAGCAAGACCCCACGCACACACACACACACACACCTTAAGCTAAAACATTACATAATCAACCGCATCATCCTTATTCACTGTGGTCACTGGTTAACCAACCATGATGTTCAATGGAAGTTGGGCTGAAATATTAAATAATTTACTGTCATGATTTCTGGTGTAGGTTAATTCAAAAGGTACAGCATCAGCACTGCTTAAGTGTCCTTGAGCAGGACCTCTTGCTTCCAGGATGCTCTAGTGAGAAGGCCAGGCAGGTCAAATGAGAGCCTCATGAAGTGTCTGTGGAAACGTTCGTCGTGACATTAACAAGGACGTATTCAGGACAACCTAAATGACTGCTCAGAGAGATGACATAACGTTTATAGACCATATATTTGGTTGTTTTATCTTATAGTGACCTTGCAAGATAAAAACAACCAGCCACTACGGTCATAATATACAGTATGTGAGGCTTTTTAAGCCAACAGCTCTTTTCAGATACATCTTCTTCGTCGTCGTTTTGCGGATGCTGGGACAGAGAGAATGCTAGCCTCCCTCCTGTTCCCTCCTCACCTGATGGCCCGGTTCGACGTCCTCGGCGGGATTCGGTAAACGTTGACTTCAGGTTTGACACACAGGACCGACTCGTACTCGAACTGACCCTCAGTCGCCATCTTGACTTTAATTAAGTAAGCCGGTGGAGACGGCGGGGGATGTTGTTTGTATGTGTGTCCGGTCAGCGTTAACGGCTGCCGTACCGTAACTGGTCGAATACTCGCGCACACAACCTGGGAAGACGTTGCGCCGATCTGATTCATCAGATTTAATTTTATTTTTTTAACTCTATGGACCATTAAATTTTAGAGTGTATCTCAAAATAACATACCTTTTTTTTATTTTTTTTATTAAGCCATGCAAAAAGAAGAAGAAAAAGCTAGCATAGCAGCATACACATTTCCAATTAAAATATTTCATATCAAACAAGGGGTCAACCAGCTTAATATGTGCTAAGCAATATGAAGATTTTGTGTTAACATCTGGCAAATTTTACAATAAAAAGACTGATTTTTTGCCGGCCATACCTGTTACATTAAGTTGATTAAAAAACAGGGACGTCTGTGGGCAGCTAAGTCTTTCACAGCAGGCGTACGTTTTTCAGTAAAACACCACTGCGACCTAAAAATAAGAGTTGTGGTTTCAAAAGTAAATGGTAAGGGTTTCAGTTTGGTCTTTTAGATTCTTGTACATTTTATTGGAATGTTTATTTTAGATCGAAAATGTAAAGAAATAAAATAATAATAAAATGATGGGTGGATTTCATTCCACCTTCATTTATACAGTTTAGTCCCATTGAGCCCCGGGGACGCATTTACAAGATAGATCTGATTTTAACAAAGTGATGACAACAGTGGACAACAAAGACAACAATAGACAGTCATAAAGGATGTATACATTTTTTTTTAAAACAGGTGAAAATAAAATGGTAATTAAAAGGAAAAATAGGTTAAAAAATGGCTAGGTTGTAAGGCGATGTAGAAAACTACAAACAGGAACATGTCTGCATTGGTTTTCCCAGGAACTAACAGATGTTTAAAGCCACATAGAGAGGTCAAGGTCAAGAGCTTCAGATCTTTTTGCAAGATATTCCAGGAAACAGGAGCAGAGTAGGAGAAGGCCCTTTTGCCTAGTTCAGTCCGCACTGAGGGAACACTGCATGTAATGATGTCCTGAGAGCGCACGCTGTAGCTGCACTCACGCTGTAGCTGCACTCACGCAGAGACATGAAGAAGGAGATGTATGAAGGCAATAGGCTGACAAGTGATTTAAAGATGAAAATGTACCAGTGAGAGAGTCTGTGTGAAGCTAATGATGACCAGTTAACCAGTGAATACAGGGTGCAATGGTGGGTACGGTAATTATTACAGCCAGTTATGAATCTTAGCGCACCATAGACAGCATCCAACATACGTATATATAGATGGATATAAATTATTTTACATAGGGAATTGTTTGTGTAAATAGAACAAATAGGAACGATCTGTTTCAGGTCACAAAACTACTATTATTGTATTTTTTTTTATCTATGATATTGTTATGTCTATTAATATTGTTGTTTATTTCTGGGCAAAAGACAAACAAGGCAATGAACCTCACAATTTAAACATTAACTGCCTCTATTTCCAGCTGGCTTCCATTTCAACCTCTGAAAAACCCTCATCAGTTGACTTTTAAAATACCAATCAATTTAAATGAAACGTTGAATTACAGGTATATACAAAATAAGTGAAGACACAATCACAGCTGTCCACAGCAGCCAAGTTTACAGATGTTTGATAATTTAAAAAAAAAATCAAGTTTAAAATGACCCAGAATTATGTAAAACATTAGGTTAAGTTGGATACACTTCTAAGTTTAGGGACAAATTGCAGTGTTTTGGGGGTTTGGTGTTTCATAATGTGTCAATGATCATAGGGGTTCATTATAAACTGTAGACAGCTGATAGAAATGTCTTCTCTTGGTTTCATGTTATGAAGTTCTAAAAACAGAAGCGTTGGTAAACCTGTCATTTTTCTGACAGAACTGAACGTTGCTCTAACTTTCCTTGAAGAAATGCATGCGGCCTTTTGCCTTCAGTGCCAGAGTTTCAAACCAAGATCAGTCAACCAGTTAAACCAGTTTTGGTCAAACCTTGAAAATAAAGTATCTTGTGTGATATTACAAGATGCCATGCTCAGACTATGTGTTATGAATGACTCTCAGCTTCACATTTAAGCTCAGTAGCTGTAAAACTGAAATTGACATGACATCTTTGGGTTGCCTTATGTCAATTAGCTGTGTCGGCCATCTTGAACTGGGTCCAAAAAAATAATCAGTTGTAGATGTTTTTCTATAATTCCTTTGAAAGTTTTATTAAAATCCATCAAGTTTTGATAACAATACAAATCCCAGGTTGATACGATATTTTGTTAATGGAAAAACAATGTATCTTAAAATATTTAATTATAAAGATTATGGCCATTTGTATTTGTATTTTCTAAGATCAAAGATCTTGCACAATTGATTGAAGCTCAGAATGTGTTGGAGATCAGCCTCGGCTTCTAACACGCCAAAGCAAAGGTCAATTTGTGTAAAAACTGACTGATTTGTGGATCTTTTGGTGTTTTTAAGAGCTGTTCTTTGTGGCAGCCATCTTGAATTTGGTTGACACCAAAAGTTAATTGTAGACGTCCGAAACTTCTCCAGTGAATCACAAGATATTTTGGTAACAAACAGACACACAAACACAGAGACATGTAAGATTATTGTTTGCCTTCACCCTTAGTCTGCAGGTGATTTTAAAAATAGCAGTAACTGTAAGCTAGCATTAAAAAATAATCGATGGTAACTGAGCATCAGTGACGCAAACCGATATTTTATTGTCAGCAATTTTATTTGTACATTATCGTGTTACAGAAACAGCCAGCAGCAGCTACATAACCTTACAAGCCTTGCCTCAAAGCATTTCTTTTTCTCAGTTTTTGCAGTTGATAGACCAACACTGACGCGGCTTTTTTGTTTTTCGGCTTAATGCAAACATCATCAGAGGTTCGTTTCACAGTCCAATAAGCTTGAAGGCGTCTCTTAAATCTTCTGTCTCGCAGGGCTGAGAGAGCAAAAAGAAGAAAAGCAACAGAACATGTTTTTTTGTTTGTTTGTTTGGTTTAAAATGGAACATGTTAAGAGTTGTACCTGAAGGATGCGCTTGAGTTTTCTTGACAGGCGGACTGAGTTTTGGTGCAGCCCGTCCCAGGCCTTGAACTTGCTTTGTTTTCCAACCACAAAGGTCTGCCAGCAGTAGAAGTAGTCTAAACAATAATAATAAAAACAGTTTTTTTTTAATAATCTGCATCATAAAAATGATCAGGGTAAACAAGAACAGAAAGAAAACTTTCCATCCTGATTTGCTGATTTATGCCCTCACCCTTGTAGCTCATGACTGTGATGTGCACGCCGGCCTTCGTCAGCACCCTCAGTCCTTCTCTCTCGCGGCTGTCCTCCATGTCGCAGAAATAAAGACGAGCCACGAAGATCCTGAGACGGAGATTGGGCGTCTGGTTGAGGAACTGGGCCAGTCGGAGCGAGCAGTTGGCACAGGGAGACCAGGAGCAGAACCAGGTGATGGAGTAGCTGACCTTTCTCTCACCAGTAACTCCATACCCCCACAGACCAGGACACAAGGCCCCCAGGTAGCGCAGAAACAACAGCTAGGAAAAATGAAGAGCAAATGAATATTACAAAAATTTTAACAGCCAGTCAAAATTAAATAAAATATCTGGAAAAATATCATTTCCTGCATGAATGCAGCATAAATCATGAGTATCGAATGGGTTAGAATTTGATGAAACTGAAATTGATTTGTTACAGCTAAATGTAGCAGAATACAAGCTAAAAGGAACAAAATGTTAGCAGAAAGGTAAAAAATAGCTCAATCTGAGAGGCAAACAACTATTAAAGCTAAAAGTAGCAAAAGGCTAGTTAAAAACTAGAAGTAGTAAAGTGGTACATAGAAGCCAAAAGTATCACAAGTCCAGCTCAAATGCCAAAGTAACAAAATTCTAACAAAAATCAGTAAAATGATTAGCTAAAAGCTTTAAGTAGCACGATTTTATCTAAAAGTAGCAAAAGGCTAGCTACAAAATGATATTACAAGGCTAGCTAAAAGCAGCAAATGGACAACTAAAAATTTAAATTAGCAAAACTCTGCCTTATAGCTAAAATATGCAAGCAACTAGCTAAAAAAAAAACAGTATTCAAAGGCTATCCAGAAGCTAGATGGTTCAAAAGTCTGGTCAAAAACTAAAAGTAGCAGAATGGTAGCTAAAAGCTAAAGGTAGCACAAAGCCAGCTCTAATGCAAAAGTAACAAAATGCTGACTAAAAGCATCAATCCATCCATCCATTATCTTTACCCGTTTATTCCATTTTGGGTCACGGGGTCGCCGGTGCCCATGTCCAGCAATCACTGTGCGAGGGGCGGGGTACACCCTGGACGGGTCGCAAGTCCATCACAGGGACACATAGAGACAAACGAGACAAACAACCATTCACTTTCTCATGCACACCTAGGGACAATTTTTTAGAGTTACCAGTCAGCCTAACATGCATGTTTTTGGTCTGTGGGAGGAAACCGGAGCACCCGGAGAAAACCCACGCATGCACGGAGAGAACATGCAAACTCCACCCAGAAAGGCCCCTGGACCGGGGTTTGAACCAGGGACCTGCTCGCTGAGAGGCAGCAGCTCTACCAGTTGCGCCACCGTGCTGCCCTGACTAAAAGCAGTAAGAGCTAAAAGCTTAAAGTAGCAAAATGCTAGCTGGAAGATATTAATATTAAAAAGCTTGCTAAAAGTTAAAAGTATCAAATGACTAACTACATTTTCAAAATAGCAGAACTACCTCAAAGCTAAAAGTAGCAAAAATATAGCTAAAGAAATATTAAATAAATATTGAAAAACATATATGACCTTTATATCTCCATCAAAGGCTAGAAGCTAGAAATGCAAGTCTGTCCAAAAGCTAAAAATAGTAAAAGGTTAGCTAAATGCGCTTAAAGTAGCAAAATGGTAGCTAAAAGCTACAATTAGTTGAAGGTTAGCTTGAAGCTCAAAGGAGCAGAAGAAGACAAATGTAAAGCAAATATGTTTAAACAGATGTAAAAAAAAATTAATAGTTTTGGACTAAATAAAAGCTGTGGCCACCTGAAATTATAAACAGAGAACTTTGTATCTGCTAGCACACAAGTACGGTATGTGTCAGGGATTGCACTCAGCTACTACCACATCAAACTGGAGCTCAATGTCTCTGAAAATGACCGAGTCAAAGCCATTTGCTAAGCTAGCTGGGTTCTTGTTTTTTTGTTTCTTATGCTTTTTTATTTAAATTGTAAATATGCATCTTTTTGGGTGCTGATTTGGAATTGTAAATAATCCAAATCAGCTGTTTTGTACTTCATCTGACAAAATCTTGTTTTCTTCTGTCTTACCCCACATTTCTTACCTCCACATGACAGCCATTACGATTTCGGAGGTGTCCAAAGTCAAAAGACAGGGAGTCTGGGCCCACTCGTCTTTTTATCACAAAGCACAGGTAGGTCTCACACCGGCCTCTGGCCCAGCGCAAGTTCTTGTAATGATAGATGAACTTTTTTCTGGGCAGAAGCACACTAGAACAAATGAAAACAATAAATATATATATATATATATATATAT